TGAGAATTAATATTAGATGTTTATCTATTTAATAATAAAGTTTATCATTTTCAACTTAATATAGATATTTGTAAAAAAAAATATTTTAAAATTATTGAAAATATTTCACAATGTTATATAAATTAATAAAAAAAATGCTGAGATATAGATTTATTAAAAAGGTCAAATGCATCAGAAATTTATAAAATATTTACAATTAGTATAAAAATATTAAAAGAAAAAATTTTAATAAAGAATTAAAAGATAATATTATAGATTTTTATAAATTAGATAAAGCATTCAAATAAAATTAAAATAATAATTTAAGTATTATCATTATTAAAGATCATCTACAAATATTTTATACAAGTTATTTACTTGATTTTACTAAAAGATTAAATGAAATTTTAGATCTTAAAATTAAAAGCTTAAAAATTAATTAAAGTATTGATAATTATTATAATTTACAGTATATAATTTGATAATTCTTTTAACTTAATATATATATTTTTAATTTAATAAAAACTTTAAATATTATAAATTATAAAATAAGTAAGTAATTTAAATATAAGCTTAGTTATTTATATTTAATTTATTTTATATTAATTTATTTTTATAATAGATGAAAATAATTAAAATTTATTTATAAATATATTAAGTATTTTTCTTTATTTTATATACTATATTATATTATGATAATTTTTATAAAATATTTATTTAGTAATACTATATATAAAATAAATATTATAAAAGATATAATTTATAATTACTTAAATAAACTTTTATATATAAATTAAATTATAATTATTAAATTTAAATTATTAATATTCATTAAATTGATTATTAAATAAATATTAATTATAAAATAAAAATAAATCAAAAAATTTAGAATAAATTAATTATACTTTATAAGAATTTATATATAGAAATAATAAGTTTTTTATATTTATAAAAAAAGTATAATTATTACTTATAAAAACTACTAAATTCTCAAAATTATTTTAACTTTCTGTGATCTAATTTGATAAATTTTGAAGTTTTTTTAAGGCTGAATTTAGTTATAATTGAATTAATATTATATGATCCTTAGATTACATAATCACTTTATTTTAAAAATTTGCAATTTAAATAATTAATTTGAATACTTATAGGTAACTCTATTTTCTTATATATTAATATACAGTTTTTTTATTTTTTTTTAGATTCACAAATAATGATAATAATATTTAGTATTGCTATTTTTTAGATAGTTTCTTTTATATTAATTCTGATATTCATATCTATTTGAGATTCTTTCATAATAAGTCTCAAAATAATTATTTTCTGTTTTTTATAAATTTTTTTAAATTGTGATTGAATTTAGTAAAATTTAAGCAATTTAAAAGATCAGAATTACTAAATCTACTATTTAAATTTTAATAAAAATTAGTTTAATAAGCATTGAGATATTTACGTTTAAAGTTTATTACTGTATATTTAAATTTTACATTTTTATTTAATTTTTTATTCTTTAACTCTAATGTAAGATTATATTTAGTAAGATACATTAATAAATAAAGATATTTAGAAGAAATAAAGATGTAAAACTATTTATATTAAGAGTTAATAGCAGCAAAATTATTCAAAGAATTATATATTAACTTTTTATATATATAAATTAAGAAATCCTTATACTAAACTTATCAAATAATTCTTAAATAGCTTTTAATATTTTTTAAACTTTATGTTAAGATTTTATAAAGTATTCTAAAAGTCAATTTTAATATATGTATATTTAATACAATATATTAAGGAAATTGAAATAATATGGTACAGTGTATTTATAGTCATCAACAAATTTAGTATAACTTCTTATTTTATTTAGTCCTTTAATTGTTATAATTTTTAAAATTAAAACTGATAAAATAATAGATTAAACCATATTCTTTTAATCTATTGATTTATATTTTAGGTAGCATAATTTTTAACTGAGTTATTAATGTATAAATCCCAAAATTTTATTAATAAATGCTATAAATTCAGAATGATCTAAAATTATCTAACCAATAAGCGATTCTTATTTCACATTATAATTATATACTTCATAAATCAAATCTACAATTAGCAATAAAAAAAATTTAAATTTTTTTTAACTTTGTTTTTTTTTAATCATTTGATTTATTGAACACATCAAGCATATATATTTGTTTTTATTGTTTCAACTAAATTAAGTATGTCGCAAGATTAAAAAAAATTGTACCTCAAAGTCTTAAATCAGTTTCTTTAATTACAATTAAAAGATTTGTAAGAAAAGCTTGGTATTTTATAGATTTATATCAAAAAAGAATTAGTGAAAAATTAGCTGAATATGCAGTTAAGAAATATAGGTCTCATAGAAGAATTTCAGATAAAATTATAGAAGAATTAAATAATATTAAATTTATCTAAATTTACTATAATATGATTTTAACTAATAAAAATATTTCACGTGACTTATATTATAAATTTAAACTAATAAAAATGTTTTCACATGATTTTAATTATATTTTAAATTTTGGATTAATAAAAAATATTTGATAACCATAGATACATCATATCATATGAAATAAATTATTTTCTTTATTTATCTAGAATAATAGTAAATCATTTTTAAATGATAAAATATTATTTAACAAGAATAATAATTAATAATTCTTTTTAAATTATAATGTATCATTTAATTAAAATGATATAAACATATAGTCAGAACTTAATATAATAAATCTTCCATTCAAGTGATCTTAGATTATTATACCAAATATTCAATAAATCAAATATTCTTGTTATACTGAACCTAATATGCAAATTTTTTATAAATTCAGCTTATCAAATATGTTAATCTACAGTAACTAATAATTTTGAAACATGTTTAAATTTTAATATGAAACACCATTGTACTTATATATTACTAACTTTATTTACAGTATTAACAAAAAATATTATATTTACAATATATTTATAAAACTAGATAAATTCTTATTCGTAAATTAAAAATTCATCCAATTTTAATTGAAGTAAAGATTTTGATTTAAATTGTAAGATTTTTTCCTAATTCCCTTTAAAATCTTTGATCTTCATTAGTAATCTCATAATTTTCTGATGAAAAATTTTAAAGTAATTAATTTTTTAATACTATTCAACATATCACTTAAAGAAATATTAGAAATTAATTCATTATTATCATCTTGAGCTATTTTTGCATTATTTCTTAATCACATAATTTTAATAATTTTTATCATCATCTAATAAAATTTTATCTTCACTTAATTTATCAGCATTTATATATTCTAATGTAAATAAAATATCATTATAGAGTAGTTTCTGTATATTAAAATCTAATTTTATATCTATATTATACTCATTTTCTAGTGAAATTATACTAGTTTTTAACCAGTAATTTTCAATAGTGATAGGATCAATCTGATTTTATACTTCAACAACAAATTTAATAGTATTATAAATATTAATAAGAGTGATAGGATATTTAATTCTTATGAAAGATCATATTTTTCAACTCTATTTTCTACCAATAGTTTTCTATATTTAGCCTTAATTTTAATAAAAAAAAGTTAACAAAAATGCTAAAATATAATTTTAAATATAATTTAGAATACTTATTTTGAAAGAATTAATGATTTTTAGTCTAAAAATTGTAAATGTAGAATTGTATTAGATGGTAAATAATATATCTCAATATTACTGAAAATAAGTAACTCATACTGTTTACTATGTGTTAGCATATTATTAACTAATAATAAATTTTTTTTACTATAAATATATATTAACCTATTTAATTTTTTTCAGATAATTTAGCCAAATTGATTGTTACATTTAAGCAATTTTATTCTAATAATATTGTACAGAATTTTTAACAGATATATTATGTAATAGATAAGAGTTTTTGTATTTATAAATAAATAATAGCTTAAGTTTATCATTACCTGTAGCATTACATATTAGCAAAATTATTACTCTATTTTTTAATTTTTAGTACTAGTTATAAACCCTTGTGCAAGAGTTTTTGATGATTCTAATTGCCAAAATAATGCTAAAAGAAATAAAATTGTAAATAAATAAAACCTTTTAATTAATAATAATAACAAATATTAATAAATTTAAAATACTTATTTTATTATAGTTGTAAATATCTTTCAAATCATATTTGGATAATTTTTTCAGCTTATATTCATCAATTTCATCTAATGATAAACCATTAGCAGTTTCATTTGATTTGATATATAAGCGAATATCTTTTTTTTTTTAAAATTTATCAGCTAACTCATAGAAGCTATAAATCCAGTAATACTAAATTTATTTGCAAACTACTTAGCTTTATAGTGTAAAATATTAATTTTTAAAGTTTGATTTGCAACTAAAAACTGAGATATTTAAATTCCAACAGCATTATCGATTTCTTTATATATAGATTGTTTAAAACAGTTTCTTTCTAATTCTGAACTCAGAACAGATAAATATTCTAATTTTCTTTCATTAATTGTATTAGGCTTAACATTATAATAATGAGTAAGTTCAGTATTTAGTATAGAAGGATTATCAGATTTTTTTGACAAAACTCCTATTTTTGAGCTATTGATAAAGTAACATACTTATTTTTATTATTTGTAGACATAATGGTAATAGAAAAGTCAATAAAAAATAAACTTATAATTATGATATATTTAAGTAAGATATTTACTTAAAATCACCAGGGGTGATCATCACCAGTATCACGTGACAATAATATTTATGTGATGTCACGTATATAACATGTGATACAATAATAGACAAATAAAAAAAAAGTGTTACATATTTGCTAGTATTACATATTTGCTGCTCTTTCACTCACTTTTCTTTTGCAAATTTAATATACATTCTTTTTGTATTAATGATAACAGAAAAACCAATTTAAAAAGAAGAAACTTCTTTAGAAAGTTGCTTTAACGTCTAAATTTTAAGCCTTTTTTTTCCTTGTCCTTTGTCTTTAATTTACATCTTTTACCACTATGGATGGTAAATGTAAACTCTCATAAGTCTTGCTATTTCTTATGACTTTTGTATAGAAGTTTATGATTTATGGTTTTTTTTTTACCAAAGATAATCAAACTTATTTAAGCAAAAAAAAAGAGTCTGCTGCTTTTACGGAAGATTCTGTTACCTTTATTGAAAATTCTAGTGGCTCTGTTACCTTTGCTGGAGGTTCTATATCCTTTGCAAAAGATTCTAATGCTACATTTGCTGAAGGTTCGGTTGCTTTTAAGGATGATTCTGATACCAGAAGTTCTGTTGTTCTTGTCAGAAAATCTGATACTTCTAAAAAAGAAATTGAAAATAAAGTATAAATTAATATTGGTGATACTTTTTCTTCATAGGATGAGGTAGATATAAAGCTCAATCTATATGCAAAAACGGTAGGATTTTCTATATGTTAGAAGCGCGTTGAGCTTGATAATGATAGGATAGTTCAACATTGTACATTTGAATGCAGTTTTTCTGATAAACTAACTTTTAATCAGGTGATTGATATAAATCATCAATGGTAACGCCCATTCAGAAAAATAATGTGCCTATGGCACATTAATATTACAAATCCAAAGTCATCATCAGAAATAAGAGTTAATAACATCATTGGATAATATAATCATCTTATGATACCTGACATATGGGTAGATTGCTAGAAAAATCAGGTTCTGGGAATTTTTTAGCAAAATTGAGATTTTTATTGCATTTTATTTTTTGATG